TTCAGACATTTTGGAGCAGAGGTGAATCTAAAAGTTGCAGGATGGTAGCCCTTGAGGACTGGAGTTGGTGACCCCTGCTTTATCGGCTTCGACGGCTGCGGTCTCTCGGTTGCTAAAGGAAGCCTTCGGTTTCACGGAGGAACTGTTGCTAGACCGCGCTCACCTTATCCCAATCCCTAAACCCAAGGCAGGTGAGCACCATCGTCACTAAGCTACATTACTACACTGACCGTGTCAAAATCCTGATGAAGGCAAGGAAGCTGCAGCGGATCAAGGTGAACGGTATGACTATGTTCGTTTTCCCCGATTATACTGCCAGTACGGGCCAAGCACGGGCAGCCTTCACAGATTGCCGTCGCCGGCTCCGTGGCATTGAGGGGGTCCGGTCCTTGCTTCATCCGGCCCAGTTGCGGATTACCCATGGTGGAACTACGCGAGTCTATTTTGCTAATTCTGCAGGAGTCGCCTAGTACCTAGGGGTGTTTTGTTGTTGTTGTTGTGCTGTTTGGCTGTAAGGATAAGTTTTCTAGTGGCTCCTGTTGGAGTCTGCACGGTTCCTTCATTTGGGGAAGGGCAGAGTGCAAGGAAGGGGTGGGGGGGGGCGGATATCTTTCAACTTCTGTTACAAACAACTGGTCACATGTCCGTTGATTAGAAAGCTTCCTCAATTTCACCTGCTGTTAGATTCCTAAGTTGGAATGTTAAAGGTCTTAACAGTACAGTGAAGCAATCTAAAATAAACTCTCATCTGAAGCGCCTAAATCCTGACATAGTATTTCTACAGGAAACACATCTGCAGAATGCAAATTGGTCCAGGCTCAAATATTCATGGGTTGTAGAGATTTACCACTCGGGCTTCAACTCGAAAGCTAGAGGAGTAGCCATATTATTTAATAAGAAGGTTCATTTCACAGCATCAAAAATAATGTGAGATACAAATGGCAGATTTCTTATAATTGCAGGTTGTCTGTTCCACACACCTGTTTTATTAATGAACATTTATGCACCAAACTCCTGATTTTATAAATAATCTATTTAGCACACTTCCTTTTGACACTCATTTGTTGATTCTAGCTGGGGACCTGAACTGTGTAATGAACCCAGCATTAGATCGCTCCTCATCTCAGGCCTTTACGCAGTCAAATATGTCTAAATGCATTTCGGATTTTATGACTCAAAATGGGTATGTAGATCCATGGCATGTAATCCACTAACAAAGACTTATTCTTTTTTCTCTCAGGTACACCAGTCCTATTACCGTATAGATTATTTTTTTGTTGATGGGTTGTGGTACTCGAAGTTGGTCTTGGTCTCGAGACCGGTTTTAAGACCATTTTTTGATGGTCTCGGTCTCGTCTCGGAC